GACAAAATAAAACAATGTTCTCAGAAACATCAGAATCAGAATAAGCTTTATGATCATTGTACCGAGATACAACGAGAATATGTCCGTACAGTCATCCGAAAGATGGGCGGAGTGCACATAGCTGCTGCTCTTTAAGAGCGCGACCTCTTATCCTTTTCAGAATACATTTAGGCTTAGATGAGAAAAGGGAAGAAAACATAAGGAGAAAAGGTATTAAAAAAAAGATCTATCACACCATGACGGCACGGTTTGAGGCATCAAAAAAATCTACCACAGCAAAGCAACATAAATAGACATAATACATATGGGGCCGGTGAAGGCATTGAGTTTTAAGGGAAGATCATAGCATAGTCCAGATCCCCCCTCAGCCATTATCCAGATAAGAGTTGTTTGTTATCATCCAGCTTGGTTGAGGTTATGTCACATGTCCACGGCCTTGGTGAAGTGAGGGGTAAGGAGACAGACAGAGCGTCTTTGCTTTCATAGCATCCCAGGAAGAATTAAGATAGTCCACCTTCAAGGCCAGGTCCAGATCCACAGTTTGGGTCAGGCAAAACTCGTAAATTGCCATTTCTGCCTTTTAATGTTTTGCTAGACCATTCTCTGATGGTGACGCCAAACAGCCAAATTGATTATTTACGCCAAAAGTCGCGCTTACAACTTCTCCAATATTATTCCCATCCATTCATGGGTGCTGCCAGAAAGTTCACAGTCCTGACATTAGCCTGCTTCATCTGTGATGCAGCTCCACAAAATTCAGTTTGAGTGCTGCCAAGCTTCAACACCTTCCATACAAATTTGTAGACAATCTAGATTTCACCAACCCAAACAGCAGAATACAGTTGTCATCATAAATACAATTTTGTTTTCATCAAGGAAAGAGGGTCCTCCATTCACCCTGACTTCCTGTCGGGAGAAGTTGATCAATTTTGTTGAGAGACCAGCTGATCAAATTAGGAAGGTATGCAGAAAAACAAGAGAGGCTCTATAAAGGTTTCACAAGACAAGAGAGCAAAGCAGGGGAGTGGGGATGGAGCAGAAGAGGATGCATCTGCCTTCACCGAGAGCACAGAGAAAAAATAAATAAATCAAAACATCAATATTGAAAACTTAAAAACACATAATCTATATTTATTTTCTGCCTAACTGGTTGTCACATCTGTGGCGGCTTTGGCTGAGTGGTTAGAACAGTCCTCCACCAATGCAAGAGTTGAGGTTTGATTCCACCAGCAGTCGCATGCCCAAGTGTCTCTGGGCAAGACACTGAACCTCTCATTACCACCGATGTGTGTCCCGTCGGTGTATGAATGTGATAAAGCACTAATTATTCTTTGTATAGATCTAGTAGAGTGCTGTATGAATGGGTAAATGAGGGCACAGATTGTAGTGTAAAGTGCTTTGAGTATCTTGACAAGATAGAAAAGTGCTAAATAAATGTAGTCCATTTACGTCTTTCCCACTCCAGAAAAACAAACAATTGTTGTTTTGTTTCGTTTGTTTTTGTTTTAAATAATTTATCCTACTGGTCTTCTTCACTTTGATATAAAGGTTGAAGTTAAACTGTTGGTATCCTCACATTCTGTGACAGCTACTTGTGCTGCTATACTAACACTTAGCTTGTAAATAAACAGAGAACAAGTAGAAATTTAATTTCAGCTATGTTGTTTATTTGTTTATTTATTTGTCTTCTGTAAGATGGCTGCTGCTAACATGCTTTATCCATCCATCCATTATCTTTACCCGTTTATTCCATTTTGGGTCACGGGGATCACTGGTGCCCATGTCCAGCAATCACTGTGCGAGGGGCGGGGTACACCCTGGATGGGTCGCAAGTCCATCACAGGGCCACATAGAGACAAACGAGACAAACAACCATTCACTCTCTCACTCACACCTAGGGACAATTTAGAGTTACCAATCAGCCTAACATGCATGTTTTTGGTCTGTGGGAGGAAACCGGAGTACCCGGAGAAAACCCACGCATGCACGGAGAGAACATGCAAACTCCACCCAGAAGGCCCCTGGACCGGGGTTTGAACCAGGGACCTGTTCGCTGAGAGGCAGCAGCTCTACCAGTTGCGCCACCGTGCTGCCCACATGCTTTATTAGAATATATATTTAAAAATTATTATTTGCTGCTGCTTGGTTGCACATTGCCATTGTTGCTAAACTGTGTGTTTAGCGTGGAGCACTGTTCACACACACACACACACACACACACAAAGATAAAAATAAATATTTCCCTTACATCAAAAAGACAGCCAAGACATTTTATGCCAGATATATGTTCTTGTTTTATTGTTTAGTTTAAAGTTTTATGTGTGTTGTTTTACTCTTCCCTAGCCACTATCTTGAAGGCAGTTTATGTTTGGACATCAGATCATTACTGGGCCTGCAGTAAAGCAATGTACTGTACTTTGTCAACAACCCTCCAGCTTTTGTGTAGTCGAACACACACCCACTTGGGATTGATTATTTCAGTGATGCAGATCGCAACACCTGTTACTGTTGTACTTATAAAGTTCTTAGCCTTGCTCAAACAAAAATCTCAGGTGGTACAAGTATGTAACATAAAATCAAGTTTGGCCATCTCGCTGATGCAACTTCCAGGATTTTGCCTGCAGCTGTTTCCAGATGCTTCTTCTTTCAGATCATGCATCGATTCAGTTCAACGGTTGTATTAAACACTTTTTGCTGCGTTGGAGGAATTTCAGTGAAAGTATGTATTTATTATTTGTTAGTTTCCCACCTACTCTTAGGAAGGAAATGACAGGTGTGCAACTTGGCCATTCTCTGGTAGCAATAACGACTTTAATATGTAAAGGAGTAGAGTTAAATGACTTGCCTAGCCACTTATTTTTACAGTGGCTAGGCACAATTTTAATCTATTCAGGATCTGTTGCATTGTTTTCAGAGCTTATTGCACAGGGAAACAATTTCTCACATCAGCACTCTTCAAACGTGTTTGATTACATTAAGATATTGTGATTATGGGTGGATTGAATGAGTGATGTCGTTAGTAAGCACTGTTTGCACCCAATGACCACTTGATATGAGCACCAGAGACCCTACACTGGATCAAGCTGATTGATATATAGGAAAATGGTGAGATGTTCCACACCACTTTTACATTTTTATTCCACACTTTTACAGTTAAACAGTTGGATGCTGTACTGCTCTGAAAAATAATTCCATCATTGTTTGTACCATTAATCACCATCTAAGAATCTAAAATTGGCAAATACCATTAAATGTAACTCTTACAGTAAACTATAATGTTACAAGTGCAAGAAGATTCCTTGACAGCCTACAAACATTGTCGGCAGACACATCTTTTAAGGTTTGATTTTTGAGCATGGTTATCACGTTTCACAAGTATAAAAACTCCCACCAGTATGTAGGCCTTGGACCACATTAGGGCAGCTGCAAGACTTTCAGCACGGGCTGCCATAGAGCAAGTGCCTGTGGAATACAGACAAATAAGATGAGGCAAAAGGGAAGGAGTTGGCACAAATGTCCACTTTGAGAAAGTCCATAATGAGCACGTTGTGCCTTCTTTCGTGGTGCTTCATCAACTCAGTGGTTAAATGCCTCTCTTTATTTAGCTCTCAAACTGTGCAGACTATCAACTGCACCATTAAGAGAATGAACAATGGTACATTTACATCTTTCACTGGTGCGGCGTGGTCTCTTACTTTGTGATTATCGAGCCCACTCATTCATCTACTGTCACATTAGTCTGGATGAGGTTCAGATCAATGCTCTGCTCATATTTTCATCTAGTGCGAGATGTCTGACAGCAAATTAAAAGAGAAAGCTGATGAGTGCCGAGGCCCTTAGTGTAGATTGAAAGTGTCATAAAATTTCAAGGGCTCTACTAAAGCCAATAAAAAAGTGGATGGGGAAATTATAATAATTCTGAGACGGAGGCCTCAAAGAGATTTAAACAACTGCTTTAGACGAGAAAGTTCATGTATAGTGTGTTTGTGTGCTTATGCACAAGCACAGACCACTTTAAAAACTCAGTTATATTTCTAGTTTTAAGGTGTTCTGCTCTTCTCAGTGATGCATTAGTTTTTATTTGCATTCCCTGAGCTAATCTGTGCTTCAGTGAGAACACCTTTGGCCAGGGACTTTAAACTCCACTGATCTCTACCTGCACTTCTTATCTCTGCTGTCATTTCCTGAACCTCAGCCCCATTACTCAAAATAATATGTAAAACATCAAGTCATTTACTGGAATTTGCAACAAACTGCGTGACAGAAAGGCATTGACTTGGTTAATAATGGCCACAGTTAAATGCCTGCATTGATAAGGAGGATGTCCTTGGCTTAACTTTGTCTTTCTTCAGCTTGGACGTCCTCCTGAACACTGGTTGGTCTGTGCCTCTGTGCATAAGAGGCACTCTGTGTATTTTAGTGAGGTTTGAGGGGGTATATCAAAGACAGAGTTGTTGTTCCTTTCTTTAAAAAAAAAAAGTGTGGGTCAACTCGTCGGTGACCAGAATTAACTCGGCTTCTTGTAAAAATATGCACCAGACCATTGCTTGTGACCCAGCAGTAAAAGTGACCAGTGGAAGTGAATGTCCTTGTGTAACACTGTCAGTTTGGTGCAACAGGGGATTAAACCTCAGGGTGGAGAGTTATAACTACTGAAGAGTAAAGTCATGCAGCAGCACAGAGGAGGGAACTGGTGGGAGAACGACACTAACTCAGCCTGTCCTATTAATTAGTGCAATTGGCATGAGTTCCTGCTCGGCCATCAGGGATGTGGGTGTGTGTTGTGCTGGCAGAAAACTGACCTCTGTGAAAGAGAGGAATGGCTAAAAAACTTGCCAGGGTAGCCCTGGTCTGAAGTACGCCATCATTTGCAAGCTGTTCTGTGTAAAATCTATTTGTTTCCATCTTGGACTTTGTTTAATGGAGTTTTGTCACCGCTTCTCTTTTTCTTCAAATTTCTTTCATTGTCTTGTTAAAACAATTTTCTTTCTTCTTCTCAGAACCCATGCGTCCACTTCGAGGCCTCATTGCCACGGACATCCAGCCCAGGCAACTGGCCCTGCTGTGGGAGAACCTGGCGTTCAACTTGACACGCTGCCACACCTACTCAGTGTCCCTGTGCTTTCGCTATACCATGGCGGGAGGAGGCGGCGGCCACAACACCACAGTGCGCGAGTGCCTGGCAGTGGAAAACAATGCCTCACGCTTCATGCTTCGTGATCTGCCACCGTACCACAGCATCCACGTCCGTCTGTCGCTGGCAAACCCAGAGGGGAAGAAGGAGGGTAGAGAGGTCACCTTTCAGACAGAGGAGGACAGTAAGTTTCAGCTGGAGGTCACGGAGATGATAATCTCTGATCTGAATAAAAAAACACAAAGTAATTGTAATCTTACCTTTGATCAAATGTTTGCTATAAACACAAGTGTACTCCCATGGTCCAACTGTGACATCAGTGAGGTAGGGGTATGCCGATTTATCCAAGTGTTGATAATATCGATGTCAATGTGCGTTTTAAAATCTTAGAACTGCTCATGTCTTTAGCTTATAAAAGAAGTTCAATTGCTTCTTCGTTTTTCTTTTAATCTGCTATGGCCTGGTGCTCTGGGTGTTGGACCGTAGCAATACTAATGAGATGGGATTGTCTTCAGTACGTATCTCTCAATCCAGAAATGCAATGCTGCACTGCAGTACCTGGCAAGATCAAATGTAAACCTGGTTGAAACATTCATCCATCCATTATCTTTACCTATTTCTTCCTTTTTGGGTCACGAGGGTCACTGGTGCTCATATCCAGCTATCACTGTGCGAGAGGTAGGGGACACCTGAACAGGTCTCCAGTCCATCACAAGGACACATAGAGACAAACGAGACAACCGTTCACTCTCTCACTCACACCTAGGGACAATTTAGAGTTACCAATCAGTCTAACATGCATGTTTTTGGTCTGTGGGAGGAAACTGGAGTACCCGGAGAAAATCAACGCATGCACGGAGAGAACATGCAAGCTCCACCTAGAAAGACCCCCCGGATCGGGATTTGAACCGGGGTGAACTGCTCGCTGAGAAGCAGCAGCTCTACCAGTTGCGCCACCGTGCTGCCCTGAAACAATCATGCCAAATAATAATTTAATTATAATCATATTTTTTTTTTCTTTTGGCCGCTCCCTTCTTCAGGGGTCATCACAGTGAACTAACTCACACTAACACTTGGCAATTGTTTTTATGCTGGATGCCCATCCTGACAACCACAGACCACCAAGCTACCAGAGAAAACCCACACATGCATGGAGAGAACATGCAAGCTCCACCCCTGGTTGAAACAATCATCCATCCATCCATCCATCCAGGGTAACCTAGGGCACCTGGGGAGCAGGTTGGGGTTAAGGGCCTTGCTGAAGGACCCAGATTGGGGAAAATGAGGGTGGAGGCAAGTGTAGGTGTTTCACCTTTTCCACCCACATTTTGATGTTGTCGGTCTGGGGAGTTGAACCAGCAACCACCTTATCACAGACTCACCTTCTATAACCTCTGCACCACCACTCCCCCACACTAATAATAATTAAAAAAAAGTAATTTATGTTATGATTGTACAACAACTTCAGGTTTAATACACATATGCTAACATGTGTAGCATCCATATTTACGTCCATAAACACTGTGTGTTGCTCGTGACATCACGTGTTCTTCTGTTCGTGTACGTCACTTTTTGGCCGTAGCGTGTTCACATTGGAGTCAGAAGACAGGCACATTGAAGATATAATGTGAACAACCACACACAAAATAAGTTGGATCTGAGCAAAAAAATTGGGATTAAGCATTAAGACCTGCAGTGTGAACGTACTCTTCAAGTATAATCTTTATAATAACTTATACAATTCTTAATTGATAGCTATAATTAACCACTAAATTATTTTAATTAGGGGTGCACCGATTGCAGTTTTTTGGCTGATCACCAATCACTAAAAAAGTCTGACCTGCCGATTCAGATTTTGGCAGATGACCATGAGGTAGCACTCTGAAATATAAATTAAGTTCAGACAATTGTTGCTAAAACTTTTTTAAAAAATCTGTAAAATCGGTTTCTCATGCAAGTATCGGCCAATTTCCAATTTCCCCAAATTAAGGAAATCGGGACCCACCCCTAATTTTAATCCAAGTTTGCTTCACTTCCCCTTAAACTTATCTTATTTGGTGTTTTATTCTTTCTTATCTATCTCAATAATTTAATTTTTAATCTTTATTAGATCTGTTTTGTAATTTAAATTGTACCAAAGAGCATAGGTGAAAAGCTCTATTCGTACTTCTACAATCAGCTGAGAAGACCCGGTTAGAGACCCTTCTCTTTCCAAACAGTTGACACATAAATTACCTTCAGGATACCTCTAACTTGTAAAGTTATCTTCCTCCTTAAAATAGGGAAATAAAAAAGCTGAATCTTTGAAGGCAATAAAGTACTTTTATATTCTGGCATAGGTTCAGCTTAGTCAATTTCAAGAACACAAAAATGTTATTTGTGTTGCTCCGTTACATTTATCAAAATAAGATGAGGCTAAAAAGCCCTCAGATACTCCTCTGTACAGTTTATTTTATTCTTGAGTATCAGAACGAACTGCGGCTCCCAGGATCAGACAGTTTCACCTTGATGAAGGTGAGATTGTTGAATTTGGAATGCTGTAATATCAGAGCCAGATGAACTCACAGACATTCCAACTGTGTACTGCTGCTGATTAAATGTTGTTATATACCAGCATTATTACCTGTACATTCTTTGTTTTCCATCGTCTAAAATTTTAGTTCTATTTAGGTTGTAGGGAAAGTTTAGGTGAAATATTGTGGTCTTTAGATTGTGATGGGAAAAATGTAGCATTATAACATTAAACCTGGAGAATATCCAGATTTCAGACTTGCTGTTACAAAACTTGACAGTCGCACTGTGATGTGCTGTGATTTCAAAACATTTATGTTTTCTTGTGAAGACAGTTGAGCTGCACCATGACCAGACAAAATGCAGCTTCATAACCTTATTATTTGTTGTTCATTTTAGGAGAATTCACTGTAAAACTCCTGCCAGCTCTTCAGTTTCTCTCCAACACACCAGAGCAGAGGAGCTGACCATCCGACAGGTTTAAGGCTGAATCAGCATAACTAAATCTTTTTTCATGTCCAGAATAACATAACAATAAAAGGAGAATTGTCAAGTAACCCCGAGATGGGATTTTGTGCCACCTATCTCCTATTTTTCCTCCGCTGTAGCATATCATCCTCACGGCGGCTGGAGGCAGAAATCAATTCTGTCGTGAAAAAAAAAAAAAAACAATCAGACAAGATTTTCAGAAAGAGATAGACTCAAAGAAAGAAGATCAACAACAACAACAAACGCCAAGAGGATTTTTTTCACTGCTCAGATAAAGATGAAACTGTGTGTATATAAATAGAGTATGCAAATAATGAGCACATTTTTGCAAAAGTCTTACTAAGCAACTTTGTCCTCCAGACTAAGTGAATGCAAAGAGACAGCTCAGCTGTTTGGCTCTTGTTTTAGCCTTGGGCTTCAGTCTCAAACAGTAGTCTTCCTCTACAGAGCAGATCTGCAGCTGTTTGCAACAAAAAAAAAGATGTAAAGAGTTAAATATTCAGGCGTTCACTGTCTTTTCATTCTTTTGCAGGATCGAGCGTTCTGGTGAATAACTGATTATATTCATTAGTGTTTTTATCTTTGAGTGAGGATTGGTATGAAAGATAGGAAATATGTTTGATATATATTTTTAATGCTTCTTGTTTGTGCTGTAGATACAACATTCATGCATTTTATGAACTGGCAGCCTCCTGTTTTGTTCACTGAGTGTCCCGTGTGGTGCACCTTGACAACCACTCCTGTGATATTGACAAGACGAGCTTATTAAGGGATCAAGCATTTCAATTTGTCTGACAAATGTTTACTGTGACACTTTCTCCTAGTCCCTGGAGGCATAGCGCCAGAGTCGCTCACCTTCACCCCACTGGATGACATGATCTTCCTGAAGTGGGAGGAGCCTGTTGAACCCAATGGTCTAATTACACAATATGAGGTAATCCCACAGAAACATTTGTGTTACTGTTTTGTGTTTGTGTTGTAAGGCCGGTTGGATGTACTGCCAAATTCTCTGAACCTGCAGTCAGCATGTCTATTGCACGCTCCCTCAAAACTTGCAACATCTGTGTAATTGTACTGCGTTGCACACAGTCATGCACATAAACTGCACTGTGAAAAATGTCCGAACAATTATTATCATACCTGTCGTAGATAGGTCTTTGAACAACTTCCTTTTGGAGAAACTAATATGAACTGGATTACCAAGCTAACAGCTACCGGTAGTCTCAATGAGGCAAAAGCAAAAGTTAATTGGTGCCATTTCAAAGCAACTTTACAAAACACTTTATCGCAGTTCAAGCAAATGCTATTATTTAAAAATGTGCATTGTTATTGCCTTTCATTAGATGATATTTATATACTATAGCGTTCAGTGGGTTTTTTGCAAGTGCAAATAGCCGTGGCAGCAGCCAGATGTAACAGTGTTGGTGCAGCCTGGGACACTTCTGCCAGGAACGCTACATATTTCTGGTAGGAAATAAAAACAGGAAAAGGAAGCTGACGGTAAAGTTTTATAAACACATAGATACTCATACATTTTACAGTGTGGAGTTGTTTTAAGACTTAAGCATTCCATTTTGGTTTTGTCTCCTCTCTGACTAGCCATTAACTTGTTTCTCTAGTTCATGTTAAGTGCTGGTTCTCTAAACTGAGTTCATTCAGAGAGCTATCTGCAACAGGTAAGATATGCATTACTCATAAATTTCCCAGAAACCCCATTTCAAATATTGACACACAAGAGGTGCAGTTGTTCACTTTCAAGGTTAGCACAGATAAATACACTAAAACAACAATCAAAACATTTTCATCAAGTCGTTGCCCTATTGCTCTTTGTGTTTTTTTTCCAATGAAACATTAAGCAGAAACCAGGATTCAACATACTCTTGTAAATCAGCAGCTGTCTAACACAGTTTACCATGGTGGGAAGAAAGCAAATATTAATTAAAAAAAAAAAAGTCTACTAAGGACTCGCAAAGGATTAAATCTTTGCAGTCAAAGACTGTTGAGTAAACAAATGCAGCCGTCAGATGTCTCATGTCCAGCAGCGGTCTCTTACTGAGAGACCAGAGTTACTGAGTCCCCATGAACTCTGGCCACAATCCATAACAAGATTACACTCAGAGTTCATTGTCGAGTCATTCGCAACACTACACAAGAGGAGTTTGTAGGTTAAATTAATATAGCTCCTCATTAAAGCTATTCTCAGAGTTTCAGTAAAATGGGAATGTTGGAACTGCTATTCTGTGGCTCCTGAATAAAGAGATGTGTTTGGAGGCTTTTTCTCCACAGATAAAGTGTTAATTCTACCTAATCCTGACAAGATAACACATCTTCAAGCTTAGGTGAACAGATAAAAAGGATGCGACTGCTAAGTCCCTTTTTATTGGCCTGTTTCATTACACGTATAGTGGAACCAGTACCAAGTTTCTATTATTGTTTATCAAATAGATATGCACATATAGATTAAAGTCTGTAATAGTATGAACAAACGGAAAATTCAGTTCCTCTTTACACTTCACAGATTGGATGCACTTCCACTTCATAGATACAGAATATTTTTCTTTTCTTCGAGTGAGGGGAATTAAAATTGTTACAAGGACTCGCATATAATTTTGGGGTTGAGGCCGGTCAACATTTGTTACATCATTTTGAGCGGTTAGTGTAAAAGGTATTCAGACCAAAGTTCCCTCCCCTCTACATATTATTTTATTATATTTATTGTATTTTATTATATTATTTATTATTACTTGGTTATTACTGTTTTTCTTTACAATGTGTATTTTTGTCGGATGTAACTGGGACCCTGCGTCGTTCCACTTTATGTACCACATGTGATGTGAATGACAGTAAAGAACCTTGAATCCTTGAATACCAGTACAAGAAGATCATCAGCAATACTTGAAAAATATGTTATTTCCTGAAAGTAAAAAAAAAAAAGTTTTTTTAGGTATTTTTGTTTCTCACACTTTACTCCAACATTTTTAGTTTTGATGGTACCAACTAGAGCAGCACGGTGGCGCAACTGGTAGAGCTGCTGCCTCTCAGCGAGCAGGTCCCTGGTTCAAACCCTGGTCCCGGGGCCTTTCTGGGTGGAGTTTGCATGTTCTTTCTGTGCATGCGTGGGTTTTCTCCGGGTACTCCGGTTTCCTCCCACAGACCAAAAACATGCATGTTAGGCTGATTGGTGACTCTAAATTGTCCCTAGGTGTGAGTGAGAGAGTGAATGGTTGTTTGTCTCGTTTGTCTCTATGTGTCCCTGTGATGGACTTGCGACCCGTCCAGGGTGTACCCCGCCCCTCGCACAGTGATTGCTGGACATGGGCACCAGCGACCCCCGTGACCCAAAATGGAATAAACGGGTAAAGAAAATGGATGGATGGTACCAACTAGATTCAATCAGTACAGTGTGCGCTTAGTAACAAAAAAAAGTCTCCACTTCATCTCTTAGTACGTGGCTCGCTGAGCTTATATTCACTAAAATAGCAGCAAAGGTCAGATACACTCGCTGATCTTGTGCACAGGACTTGGACATAACATTTTCAGTGTCCCACTGAAATAGAGCCTGACATCATTAATCAATAACTCACATGTGTTTGTTTTTGCTGTAGGGCTTCCATTTAGCTGGATAATAATTTTGTATTGGCTGTACAGTCTGTCTGTGTAAGCAATAAAAAGTCAGCCTACCCGTTTCAATATTTGGACTTCTTTTCTTCTCCTGTGCAAAGTCAAGGTACTCATTGAACAGAATTTCATCTTTAACAAATGAAGTCAAATGTATAAATATTTTACTCTGGAGAATTGGAGGAAATTCTTTCCATTCCTCTCAGGCCAAACCATTGACAATTGTAACCTGAACCTCATCATTTGGTCCTCTAAGCCAAGGCTTGGACACTTCTCTGCATTCTCAACTCTATTTTCTGAGCAGCATGTCTGTGTAACAAAATGGATCATAGTTCTGTCTGCACGATAAGGACGCAAGAAAAAAAATCATTGAAGTGTTAGTTCAGGTCCTTTGAAGTAGAGCTCTGTGGAGAGGTTAATATCTTACCTGTTGTAGATACCTTGTTGTGAAGAAATATAGATAGGTTTGGATCGTACTGATGACCCTTGATATAGAATTCTCTGTTTATTGCATCAACAAATGGAGGTAGCAGCCTGAAACACTTCCAGCAGATATACCAAATACTTCTGCTAGAATAACCATGTCATGTGAAACTGCTGAGCATGCATCAGGATATGCTGGCATTTTAGTTGTTGTTTTATTTGTGTTTGCATGAATTGCTATGAAATTTTTGACTTTGGGGTTTAAGACTGCAGCATTCCACCAGGGTCTTAAGCCCATTCACATTAGTTCTAAACTCACCCATCCAATCAAAATTAAAAGTAATGTTCTTTGAAAGGAATGCTGCTCTGCATGCCAAATCTTTTGTGATCTGGTAACAGTCCGAGTATGTTTACTGGAAGACTAAGTTACTACTCTTTTACTTTTTAGACAAATGTCTGCAGAGTTGACAGAGTTATAGTCATTTTTGTGTTTGCTACAATTGAGCAGCTGTTGTGATCATCTTGACTCAGGAAGCCTTCGCGTATGTTTATCCAATGGTTATTTTTTAAGAATTTCATTCAAATCCATGCAGGGTTCCAAGAGATATTTTGCTAACAAACTGAAATACATACAAACACATACAGAGACAAGTACACTTATGTTATCACCTCCTTTTTATGGCAGTAGAGGCAAATTAAACACTGTTTCATCAAACTGAGCCCTCTACAACAAGTTCAATGTTATTTATAACATTTTCAAAAAAGACAACTTCAAAAGATCTGAAAAATCTCTTTAGACCCTTCTTATGATAATCATCATAGCCTCACAGCTGGCTTGAGAGATCTCTTTAGTGTGATGCGAGCGTGCACACTTCATATTGACTGAGAAAGTTCATTCCTTCAAGTTAAGTGGATCTCCTCCATCTCTGCTGTATATACTAATGTACTCACCCTGATTGCAGCGAGGTCACATCATTCAGCTCTCGTCTGTTTTAAAGAATACAAGTGGAAATGCTCCAGCAGGTACATTCATGGCAGACAGCCTCTTAAGGAAAAACTTTTTGAAAGATTTTGCTTTTCAAGGATACTTATTTCCAGATTTTTTTGTCCTAATAAGTATTAGACAAACTCATAAACACTTGATAGGTATTGACCTAAACACCTGAGTATGCTCTTTAATGTGTGGTGGCCAACATAATTATGTACTTATGAAGGCAACAGTTCACCTTCTGCAGTATTTTCTGAAAAAGTCTGTTTTTTAATACACTCATGACTTAACACTGTCAATGTCATTTAGATTTTCAACAATTTTCAGTCAGGTCATCTGGACAGTTTCTTTTTTTTGCTGAAACGTTTCACCTTCCATCCAGAAGGCTTCATCAGTCAAGGAAACACAACACATGACTGAAAATTGTTGGATTGTATACCTGGATTATTGAGCATGGACTTTTTTTGGTTTTGAACCAGTTTGACATGACTGTCGACAAGGAAGAGGGCTGGCACGAGAGGAGGGGGCGTGCCGAAGACACCATCTTAGCATCAACATAACTGGTTTGTTCCACTTTGGAGTAAGCTGTTTGGGGGACGAATCAGTTTTGTTGTGTTTCCTTGACTGATGAAGCCTTCCGGATGGAAGGTGAAATGTTTCAGCAAAAAAAAAAAAAAACTGTCCAGATGACCTGAATGAAAATTGTTGGATTGTATACCTGGATTATTGAGCATGGACTTTTTTTGTTTGTTTGTTTTCTTTTTTCACGTAGATAACTTCTGTAAAGCGTTTTGTGGACATGGTTAAAAACCTTGAAATTTGTTCACATCTGCAAACAAATAAAAAATGTGACTGACTTTTATGGTAATAAATCAGGCCTCTCTTGTAAATAAGTCCTCGAGGCTCAATGGGATTTATCTGTCTAAATAAACGTTGAATGAATAATAACAGAGATCATTTTTTGCCTTTTGTTCGTCTACCAACAGATCAGTTACCAGAGCATTGAGTCATCTGATCCAGGGATCAACGTCCCAGGACCCAGAAGAACAGTGTCCAAACTCAGGAACGAGACGTACCACATGTTCTCCAACCTTCACCCCGGAACAACTTACCTGATCTCCGTTCGAGCGCGTACAGCCAAGGGTTTTGGCCAGACTGCTCTAACAGAAATCACCACTAACATCTCAGGTACCGTTAACAGTCACATTCTGCATCTGTGGTCTCCTTTTATAAAATAAGAAAATTAGAACATTATGGATCATATTGGAAAAAGAATGTTAGTTTAAAGAGCAATTGTCCAAAAACTTCTGGTTTTGTTCAAACACCAGAAAAATTAAAAGGTGAACATTGTTAAATGTTTACAAGGATGGTGAACTTCCCCTGTAGTTATAAAGCACCTATAGATGCTCTGACTTCACATTCTGCTGTGTTACCTGCCGCTCTCAAGCCTTGTGTGTACTTGTTTGTGTTTGGGTATCTTAGTACAGTAGTCTCTCACTTATTGCGTGGGTTACGTTCCAGACACCCCGCGATAAGTGAAAATCCTCCAAGTAGGGACGTTATATTTATTTTAGTATTTATATATATTTTAAGGCTTTATAAACTGTTCCTACACTCTTGCAATGTTCTTAACAATGTTCTAAACTCTCTAAATGCTCTAAAAGAGCACAGCGAAAGAGAGCAGACAGTCTGATGCTACAGTTACTGAGCCAATCCTGGAGTCAGACTGGCCATTGGGAACACCGGGACAATTCCCGGTGGCCTGGCCCGCTCAGTGATTGCCAAGGGGGACTAAAGGCTCGGTTCCGATCATGCTTGATTATTTTAAATAAACAATCCATGCCGCTCCTGCGGCTCACTCAGGTATAAGACAGACCACCACCTCCCCTTTCTTTTTCCAAGGTTGTCTGTCACAGCAGAGCAGAGACACACAACAGATTGCGCTCCTTCCTGATGTGTGTCTCTGCTCCTCTGTGACAGACAGCCTCAGAAAAAGAAAGGAGGAGGCGCTGGGGGGTGGGTGGGGTGTGTGTCTGTCTTATACCTGAGTGAGCCATATGAGTGGCATAGATTGTTTATTTAAAATAATCAAGTGCGATCCGAACAGAGCCTTTAGTCCCCCTTGGCGATCACTGAGTGGGCCAGGCCACCGGGAAATGTGCCGGTGCTCCCGATGCCCAGTCCACCCCTCACCACAATGCTCTGGTTGGTCGCCTTCCATCAATCAGCCAATTGTGTGTGTGTTGTGAATACAATCTTACGTTGAAAACCAGCAAAATTGTGAGTCTGTGAAAGTCAAACCTCGACGTATCGAGGGACTACTGTATTTCGGTATCTATATAATGATTCTTAAACCTTATTGGACAAATACAAACTTGGATTCACTGTGACATGATGGTTAGAAGGACCAGGGACACGCTGAGCAGATGGAAAGATTTAATTTGTGACAACAGGAAAACTAAATATTATTAGCAGTTTTTCTTTTGAGGATTTCATCTCTTTTTAAACCCGTATGTTTGAGCCAGAAATGTTGTGGAATGCAATCCCTAGTGAGTGACCCTCAGTGGTATCTGTCTGTAAAGTGCCTTCTCATTAGCTTCATGTCTCAGATGTAGTGGCAACATCCATCTTTTTTCCACAGTCTGTGTGTACTACACTAAGATTTCAACCACTATGTTCCATAATTAGGATTTGGGGAGTTCTCTCTTTTGACCTTAGCATTTCTCCTTCACTGAGGCAAAACTTCTGCTCCCAGAGTGTAGGAGCAATTTTTCATCGCTTCTCCAAACTTGTGGCACACTGTCGCCCCACAGTCCTCCAGATATAAATTAACTTACAGAAGGCGGAAAAGCACCACAGAGGGCAAGCTTGTGTGTTACTGTATAAAGAAGGATGCAGAACATTGTTGGGAGCAGAATGTCACTTCGAAGAGTCTCCGAGCTTATTAGCAGTGATAGGAATTCAGCCTTTGTGTTCCTGTTTTCCATTGATGGTGAATTTTCACTTGTTAAGGGATGAGATTACACGTCTGAGGAACACACAGAAGGACCCCTCCAGCAGCTCTTTCTCTTTTTTTCTCACACATACACACACACACACACACCTATCTTTTTTTTAATCTATCTCTTTACAGGCATGTCCAGTTTGTTTAATTATAGATTAAGTTCACAATTGAAGCTTATTGGCTCCAAATCACAGAGACTCCTGGCATGAATCCAGACCACAGAGTGCAAAAGTCTGTGCAGATCCTCCTCCTCCTCCTCCTTCACTAGTCCATGGTGCCGAGCATTCACTTACACTGAGCGTCTCCTAAATCTACACTGACAGCCAGCAAACACTGAACACCTTCAACAGCCACGACTGTCAGCATCTTTGAACAACACCCACCGCAGAGTACCTGACTGCACACATTTCTTCATTCGCATGCACACACACACATACACACACGCATTGAGATGAGTTCACCGTAGTGGTTAATACACTAACATCCCTTTGACAGGCTTTGGACCTGACAGCAGGGATCAAACTGTCTTTTAGAGCCACAGACCTGTGACTTGAACAAAGCTTCACATAGTTTTCTTTAAGCTTTTAATTGATGTCAGATCGTTTCTGTTGCAGCGCTAACAAACCACGTTTTAATATGATAATTATCTATGTTCTGTGACTAGTTTGCTCCCCTTCCCACTTACTAATTGACTGATGATATTAAAGAGAAATGTGCCACAACATCTCAGAGGAGGAGCAAGACTTTAGCCAGATCTTTTCAAACGAAGAACCCATTCGCTCCTGTGACTTTTAATTGGTGTTTTGTTGAAGGCAACTGGAAGGAATGTGAGAATGCGGGTAATGGCTTTGCCATAAATGTTGTGCCTTTATGCTAATAGTGAACCGGGTTGGTTTTATTTGACACTTTAAGGCTGAGCTTGTTTACTTGGAAGGAAAAAGAGGCAGAGACACTGTCTGAACTCAATTAATGCTGCCTAAATGAGCGGTGGCTAGAGCAAGATGTGTTGTTTTTGTGTGTGTCGTCTTTGATGTTTGAACCTCGATCTGTCCCCAGCTCCTACGTTTGATTATGGAGACATGCCGTCGCCACTAAGCGAGACCGAGAGTACAATTACTGTGCTGCTGCGCCCCGCACAAGGCAGAGGAGCACCCGTCAGGTGAGGAGACAACCCCTCAGACCATCATAATTTACTATTTTAATCACACACGTGGCTTGTTAAAGTTGAATATCCACTCCAGCACTTACCAGGTGGTGGTTGAGGAGGAGACTGTGAAGAAAGTGAAGCGAGAGCTGGGCCTTCAGGATTGTTTCCCGTTGCCCATGTCTCATGGCGAGGCGCAGGCCCGAGGCACGCCACACTACTACACGGCAGAGCTGCCCCCCAGCAGTCTGCCAGAAGAAAGTCCCTTCACCGTTGGAGACAATCACACTTACAACGGCTACTGGAATAGCCCTTTGGACCCTCGCAAGAGCTACCTTGTCTACTTCCAGGCTATGAGCAACTTTAAAGGGGTAAGTGATCAAACTCACCTTCCCAGTGGTGCCTCAGATCTAGAAACATTTAGTCATCAAGCCGTAAGGGTTCCCGGGTACTGTTCGTTGGGGAATCTGACATTAGTAACAGTTTCACTTTAAACATCATCCTTTAAACACAGCTGCTAATCTCGGCCAAGTGCAAATAAGTTTAAACTGTAGTTACATTGGTGTAGAAAGAGTTTAGTTGAACTCTGGCACCCCCCCTGTGGAGCAGTGTTATTTTCTTCATGGCTACATCTACTGTTTAGGAGAGGAACTGCAGGAAGCATAAATCATTTCAAGGAATAAACTACAAATCTGCTATGTTGATGACAAAAATTGGTTGCTCCATGACTTGTTCATTCATTTCATAGCTTGATAAAGCGACTCAAACGTTATTAGAGTCGGAGAACTTGTATGAATAAAAATCCCCTCAATCACACAAAAATATGACATCAAAAACCTTTCAAGGCAGATGGTAGTACAGAATGGAAGGGTATAATTTAAGGAAGGCTTAACGAACTCAAACAATCAATTCTCAACCCTACCAGCTGTAAACATTAGTGTTCTAAGTAATTCTGAACCAGTGTCCGTCTGTACAATATCTGTAGTTTACAGTTTAAGTCAAGTGTCTGTTGTTGAGATCACAACCTTTAAGAACTTATTTCTGCTGTCAGAGATTGTGCAATGAAAATGTTTTTCTTTTGCTTTGATTTTTGTCAGCCAAATCGTTTCTGAAAGGGAAATTACTTGCATGCATTATTTACAGATATCAACGTTGTGACTAGCTGAAATTACTTAATTCAGCTTTCAATTAAAACGTTTTCTTCTACCTTCTTACTGCTTTTGTCTTTGTCTTGTTACTTCAAGTTGTCTTTCACGCATTTAAGTTTTTTGTTTGCCTAATCAGCTCATTATCTTTAAGAATAACCAGTAATAATTGACCAAAGTAACACGAAAACAAAGAGCCTTAACAAGTCTGTCTTCTTCTGTCTTGGTTTTCCATCCTGTTGGTAAAGGAACTGGGTGTTTTTTCTACTTTGCAGTGTCTTTTTGTATCATTCACTTCAGACAAGCTTGAAGAACGTCACATTCCCTTTTTCAAATTCCTTTACTGGCAAAGCTGCTACCTTGGTGAGGTGATTACTTAGAAACAATTGAACAAAGGTGGAAATGATCAGAGCTAGAAAAGAGCTGCTGCTTTAAATCCATCAGAAAAGTGTTGCTTTAGGTAAGTGAGCCATCTGTGATCAATAACTGGTGTAAATCTATGCAAGATGGGTCACTAGTAGAGGTGGAGGTGAAGTTTATTTTTAGATGCATTGCATTACGGGTATAGAGGATTTTGAATTGGTTTTCAAATGTCAAAAATCTTTTTTTTTTTAATGTTCATCTGTGCTGACACTTTATAAGAGTGAGTAGAGTGCCGGTAGTTGCTACCTGGTGCCTTTTGTCCTAGTAGAGTTACCATAGCTTCTTGTAGTAGAAAAATGTTGCTGTGCAGCTTTGTTACCACTTTTTTCTTTGTTAAGCGTCAAAAAATAAAGTAAGAGTTAAAGTTTTCAGAGATTTAAAGTTCTTAATATATACTTTGAAATGTTTAATTTGTTTAAATTCACAGTCATAAGTTAATAATGTTGCTTTCTATAACGTTTTTAACCCTTGGAAGACCTTATGAGGAAAATTCAGCTACACATTTAGTATACTACACACTCGTGTTCCTCAAGGGAAAAATCTGCGCCATTAGAATACACTATAAATACAGATTTTTATCCCGTATTTATCTATAAAATAATGCATTACTCTCAGTAATATTTCATATTCATCCTTATACTTTCAATTTTATATTAGCTTACGAGGTGGTGCTTCGCTTGTATATTTGAGAGCCTCTGTTAAAATCAGGGACGGGTCAACGTACCCCAGAAGCAGTATCTTTTCCCAACCAGATGTCGCTGCGACGTCCTGCCTCTCATCTTGTCCGACAGAATTGTAGTTTGGATGTAAAGAGGAACAACTCACTTGTAATGTGCACAAGTAAACGTTTGATACTAAAAATCTTTTTCACATGCGTGCAGGATGTTCCACGGCTGACAGCAGCTGACTGCCATTGGTTTTGCTCAGAGCAGGACTTTATTAGTGTGTGTACTGTACTCCTGCAGCTCTCTAGTGTCTCCGGGACAGTAAAAGCAAAAAACAGCTTAGAAATAAGCATTTCTACTGTAAGGTTAAAAAAAAGAAGAAAAAAATATTAGAAAAAGTCCCATGTCCAAATATGAGAAAACAGAAGTGTTTGACCAAAAACAAGGCCTCATTTTTAGCTACTGGATCTGAAGTGTTTGGTGGGTTGGAGGGTCTTCACAAAACTCCAGACTGGAATTTTTAAAGAAATTGTCAAATAATCATTTTGGGCATACTAATGAAGACAAAGACCCAATTTATACATTTATTTATTTTTGTTTGGTTATATGATATTTTATTTATTTATTTTTTAAAAATTGCTGTAAAATGAATATATTGCCAATTATTTTTTATGTCATTGTCAATTTATATAGCACGTAAAAACAACAAAAGCTGACCAAAGTGCTTAGCAATTTACCAGTAGTCAAATTAAAATGAAAGCAATAAGAACAAAAAACAAATACATCTTGTTCCACTCAGGAAGAACAAGAAGGTTAATAATGAAATGCAACGCACATAAACAAAAGACCCTTCTGGCTGAGATAGCTCTAAAAGATTACCGTATTTTTTTGTGGGAATAAAATATTTAAATAATAATTGAAATATTTTTAAGCCGTTACATGAGGTGGTTGCATTTCGACCAAGGAAAACTTGCTGTCATAAAGTTAAAAGAACTTCCAGTTTATGTTAAATTAGCGTTTATGCTAACTCCTGGTCAGCAGCCTGTAGTTAAGATATTTTTCTACATATTGTGAAGTGAACATTTTATAAGCATTGCAAATACGTAAAATGATAAATATTTAGGGCGGCACGGTGACTCAGTCGGTTGAGCTGTTGCCTCTCAGCGAGAAGGTTGCCGGATCAAATCCCAGCTCGGGCCCTTTCTGAGTGGAGTTTGCATGTTCTGTCCTTGCATGCTTGGGTTTTCTCCGAATACTCTGGTTTCCTTCCACAGACCAAAAACATGCATGTTAGACTGATTGATAACTCTAAAAATGTCTCTAGGTGTGAGTGAGAGTGTGAATGGTTGTTTGTCTCGTTTGTCTCTATGTGTCCCTGTGATGGACTGGAGACCTGTCCATGGTGTCCTCCGCCTCTCGCACAGTGACTGCCGGATATGGGCACCAGTGACCCCCATGACCCGAAAAGAAAGAGATGGGTAAAGATAATAGATGGATGGATGGTTATTTATGTCAAATAAGCCATTGTAATTTAATTTTCAAGATAATACAAATTAATAAATGTTTTACAATTGCATCACTGCAATTCAACTGTAATTGAATGTGGAGCTTCAGAAACGTTCCTACCTCTAGAGCCTGTGGTGCCCATTAGAGTATTTCAGCCCTATGAGTTTCTGTTTCCCTGTGTACTGTAGAATCTTACATAAACAGGCCTGTGTGGCTCGTCCCCAGCAGTGTCATCTTTTTCCAACCCAGTGGAGAAACACACTTTGGGACTGCAGCGTGAGCACTTCACACAACTAACCTGCTAAGAGTGGGATTAGAGAGTGGACGCCTGGCTTTACCAGCGGATGGGATTAGGCGTTTGTTTGCTCTGCCAGGGGGCTACCTGTCTTGACCCTCATTGAGGCGGGCGCAGTGACAAATCACAGCCAACGCCGTTCTTTGTGCCTGAAAATACAGTAACAGTCAGTGCTTGGAGGTTGCAGCTGCAGGACTGAAACTATTCTTTTTGAAGGAACCTTTTGAAATGTTTGGATTGTCAAGGGTGCACAGTTTCAATAAAAATAAATAAAACTTACTTTTACCTTTATTGTCAGCAAAAAGAATGTGATTTTGTCAAAGTCAGAGAACACAGTGCAGTGTTGCTTGCCTGATTAGTAATACAAGTCAAAAGATTAAACAAATGGGGACAAATCACAGAAAGGCCGTAAACGAAGAAGAGAGTGGTGAACGACCTCCAGATGAAACGATCTCATCAATCGTATGATCAAGAAACTGGATTTGAACAACAAAAGTGACATGTTTTTATTGGATGTAGCCTGTAGCCTTTTTGCAGAGGGGGGGTCATATTACCTGCCTGGTGGCCTTTGGAGCAGTGGTGTCTCAGTACCTGAATGAGAGGCGGAGGGAGAGCTGCATGGAGCTGGTGGGCAAGGAGATCTCCAACAGCTATCACTGTGTGAGAGGCGAGGGACAGTCCATCACAGACATCCAAGTATTAAATATTAATGTTTCATTTCTGTGTAGAACATGAAAGTTTGAGCAGCTTGCTAACTGTTTGCTGTAGTTTAGTATTTTTCTGCTTTATCCTGCAGGTGTAAGTACAATTATTACAGCTAAAACCATTTACCAAGTAAAGGCCTAGCATTTCCTGAAGGAATGCATATCACCCGCCACCTTTCATGCCAAAAGTTTGGACTGGGGTTCCTCAACGTTAAGAAATGATGGCGTTGTAGCTGTTTTGGTCAAACATTAAGAAATAGCATTATAACATTAACATTATCATATCAGGACATGTCAGCACGCAGTGGTTCAAGAGATATTTTTAACAAACACATTCAAAGGCACAGACCAAAACATGATCATCTCTTTCAGCAGCAAACTTTTGTATGACACATTTTACTTAATTTTAATCAAAGTATAAAACCTGCATATGAATGCACTAGTAGGATATTTTTGTATAGTGGATTTTGCAGAAAATAACTTTGTAGTCCTTCTGTTTATAGCTGCTGGAAAATAAAATGTATCTTTTCACTTGAAGAGAAACGGGCTGTGACAACGGCTCTGCTCTAAAAGTGAAACATCACAAAAGTCACGTACGTTCTTGTATATCAGTTGTTGGTTAATCTTCCTGCAGATTGATGTTGTTCTGAAGTGTCATCTTTGATAGTCTCTTCAGGTGTTTGCACACCAACCTCTTAATTAAAATGCAAACTGAACTGTCAGGCTCAGTTTAATTGCCCTTCTCATTAAGTCAGTGTTTGTGTGGTCAGTTTTATATACAGTAGTCCCTCGATACTTCACGGTTGGTTTTTGGCAGACTCGCTCTATTGCAGTATTTCAAAATAAGATTGGACATGACACACAACTGGCTGATTGATGGATGAGCCACACAATCAGCATGGAATTTTTATTTAAAATAAATTATTTTAAATTAATTAGCACCTGCTGCACCTTTGTGCAGCCCACACTGCAGGATATGCTCCCTCCAGCAGCTGATCAGCTGTTCTCCGTGCAGAGCGGAGAAGTGGGCGTGGCCAAGAATGCTTGCAGGTATGTGGCTGAGAGCAGCGGAGGCAGAGAGAGGGAAATCATGACATTATGTGCTCTTTTAGAGCGTTTAGAGTTTAGAAACATTGTTTAGAATGTTGCAA